TGTATCTCTGAAGGGAACCGACTGTCTTCAGAAAAGTTTCGATGGCATTTTCATTTGATCTGATAAAGTAGCATTCATGAGAGGAGCTGCTTTGATTACAGCCATTACTGGAGCTTTTGTAACATTATACACTATTCCATTCAGTATAATTTTTATTATTTTTTTGGGAAAGAAATTATAGAAATTAATACTTTTATTTAGCAAGGATGCTTAAAATTGATCAAAAGTGATGATAAAGGCATTTATAATGTTACAAAAGATTTCTATTTCAGATAAATAGTGTTCATATCGATATCGAAATTATATCGTATCGACCGAAATTAAGAAATATATCGTGATATCAATTTTGGCCATATCGTCCAGCCCTATTATGTACATTAGAGAGGCTTCATGTCAAAACCTGTAAGACTAATTCACCATGGGTTCCCTCGAGATTTTCCTATAGGTTTTTATAATGGGGGTTTTCAATTTATGAGTAAAATAAGGTCTGTGGTAAATATAAATTGACAATACTTGGACGTTTTGCTCTACAACGCAAATTGCACGCACCCATACTGAAAATGCAAATTTTAAAAAACATATGTTTGTAATAAGTAACTACATAAGAACGTTTGGTGTGTGAGCAGTTTACATTGTACAATTAGGGTTGTAACGATATATCGGTTTATCACGGTTTGAACGTGCACGGTTATCATACCGTAAACATTTGCATATCTACGGTTTTTTTTTTTTTAATGAATGAAAAAAAATCTCACCCGCACATATGCAACTTATTTCTGCTCGGCTGCTTCACTCTGCATTCACTTGGCTGCTTACACGCACGTGCAGCGGAGAAAATGACAGAGACAGAGATAATATCTCATCTCCATCCCCGCTAAAAAAAATTATTTTAAATCTGCAGTATGGGAATACTTCGGATATTACAAAAACGAACGCAGCGTTGTCCTTGAGGACGAATCCAATTTGCAAAAAATGTGGACGCAAAGTGGCTGCAAAAGCAGGCAATACATCCAACATCTTCGCTCATATTTGCGGACACCATCCCTCCGTGCAGATAAAGTTGTGTCGCATTAATAACAAGTTATAAGTTAAGGCCGTATGATTTCCGTGAAGCAGAGGGAATCGCGGTGCAGTCCTGAACATGGAATTTACAGTATAACGACGATGTCACGTAAAACGCGCAATCTGGTGGAAGGATAAATCAAAAGTAGATATATGGGTCTGTGAATATTTATGCGCAAAGAGACAGCTATATAAATAATCTGCTTGTTTCTGCATGTCTCTGAGTGGCGCTGTTTTATCTACTGCATACTGAAGTACGCATGATGCTAATGGTGTGTTCAGCGTCTACATAAACATGAACATCAGCAGAGCTGCTCTGAGAGAAAACGTAAATAAACATTTCCTAGTTTTATTTGAGAAAAACCATTGTCAAATACACTCTGAAACTCAAAGGTCCGCTATAACCCATCAAAATAAACGTTCGATTTAATTTGAAATTATGACAGAAATATATTAGCATTGTACAATGTACTTCAAAGTTATAATAACAACAATAATATTCTTTATAATAAAATTATTTATAACATTGTTTTCTTCAAGGATCATGTTTGTCCATGTTTTAACTTTGCCAAAAATAAAAGGAGTTGTATATTTTCATTTGATAACATTTTAAAACATTAATTAAAATGTTAAAGTGTGATATAGATATACATAAGGTGTACAGCTTTATTTTTTTATTGTTTTTTAAATGTATTTATTTATTTTTTCAGAAGGGAGACTTCAATACTTTCATTAAAATGGTTTCAAGTTTGTTGTAATAAAGGATTTGTTCACTCAAATAACTTGTTCTTGTTCTTTCAAGAGTCATTGTTACTGATTGTTTAATATATACCGTGATATTTTCTGAGACGATTATCATACCGTGAAAATATCATACCGTTACAACCCTATGTACAATAAAACATCCAAGTATCATCAAGTCATGTTTACCACAGACCTTATTTTACTAGAAAACCCCAATTAAAAAACCCATAGGAAAATCTGGAGGGAACCCATGGCGAATTAGTCTTCTGGGTTTTGATGTCAAGGCTGCAGCTCTCTATTACATTTTGTTCATATATCAGCTGCTTTCCAAAGTCTTTTCTTTTTAACTTACACGCTAAAAAAAAAAAAGGTACAAAAGCTGTCACTAAGGCAGTACCTTTGCAAAAAGTAACATCTTTGCACCATATTTATCACTAAATGGTTCATATTGGTACCTTAATGGTACATACAGTGGTGTGAAAAAGTGTTGGCCCCCTTCCTGATTTCTTATTTTTTTGCATGTTTGTCACACTCTTGATTGCAGTTGTTGCTGCAAAGCGTGGCACAACCAGTTATTAGATTTAGGGGGCAATTACTTTTTCACGCCACTGTACTTGTCTCTAAATGTACATATTAGAAAGGGTACCGCCCCAGTGACAACTTTTGTAACTTTTTGAAGTATTATATAAAATGCAAAGCTGGTTTTGCTATGATTTGGTACCAGACTTATTCATTTAATCATCTTTTCAAGTATTAAAGTATACTGAGTTGATTATCAAAAATAGTCATTTCTACAGTACATGCTTATTTAATATATAAAACCATTTTGGGTTGAATTTCCAGCAAAGATATCCATATTCTAATATATATAGTTATTGTGCAATGTAATTCTTAATTTTACCCAAGAAAAAGCCACTGTAAAAAAAGCTCAGCACTGGTTCTTTCACAGTAATAACACAATGGATGACAAAACTTCCTGGCCCAAATGAACATACGTATGTTCTGTAGCAGATTGGTGGCCCCTAGCACGCCTGCTTGCCTTGTTTGGAAGGAATGCATCTCAGTGTTTACTATTCAGCTATAAATAACAAGGTGCAACTGTGTAGTGTCGCCCCGCCGTTTCGCTTCCCTCTCTCCGTTGTGGCACCGGCCTGCTGCTGATGGTGTCTGGGTCATATTGGCATACTGTCACGAGCCTGGCAGCGGCCTGCCTTGCCTCCATCCACCCGTACGTCCCTGCCGGAGCTGCAGCCATTAGCAGGCGTTCTCCGGCCGGGCCGGGAGCGGGAGGGGGCAGTGGAAGCCAATCAATACTGTGACTCATTCTATCTACGATGGCTGCTTCATAACAGGATTCATTAAAAACAAACCTAATCATTTTGGCAGGATAATTAGATACAGGGAAGCATTTTTTCCTCTCCCTCGATTTGCTTGAAAAGAACATGGCAAACTATGAGGTCTCGCTTACTAAATATGTAGGTTGCTAGCAAAAGGGAGGGTCCTGCGTGCACACGGCAAAAAGAGGCTCCGAAGTGGAATAGCAGCTAAAATTAACAATTGCGTGACAAGATAATTGTGACCCTGCGATTAAGACATGAAGAATGGCCCAATTATCTTGACAAGACTGAAATTATTACTGGATGATGCAGGACTGTGTTCGATATGCTTATTAATCAAAGACAGATGAAAATAATGCTAGACATTGAGGATGTATCTTCATATTTCGGACCAAACTTAAAAATGTTATTATCAACCAATGAAACGGTCAACACTAATCTAAATATTGGGGGGAACCAGTATTGGATGGATGGATTTCAACTACACAGAATAAGCCAAACTGCATATACAAAACTATGTTTTACAGCACAAACTCTCTTTGTCTTTGGGTAACGTAACTTTAAGGGCTTTCTAATCCTTAACCAGGTAGGTTATCTCTGACAGTTGATTAACTTTAGATATCCAAATCAGCCAAACAGGGTCAACTGACAAAAATGGTCAATTATTATATGGACATGCACACAAAACACATGACAGAGAGTCGTGCCTGTGTCATTTGAGTCAACCACATACGCAAAAAAACTGTAAAATTATCAAATATAAAAAAAAATCAACAGTGTTCCCATGTTAAGAAAAATCATATTACAGAAGTTATACTCACAAACAGCAAAATATATCTAATAAGATACTAGAATAGTAATACTAGTATATTCAAAATAGAAAGTTAAATAACCTTTCCAGGCCTGTAAATCTCCATTTACACTTTTTGTTGTTGCTGTTTTGTTTCAAACGTAGTTGATTTTTAATAACATATTACTGTTTTTAACTTATTGTTTTATTGTATAAACTACAAAGCCGTTTTTCTATCATTTTAAAAATACATACTTCAAGGTTTTTCCAGACTGTGGGAACAGTGTTTATCGCAAAACTAAAATCTTGACATCAATAAAGTTATGTTAGAACCACTTAAATGAGGTATTCATCAGTTTACTTGCAGTGGAACTAACTAATCGTCTTCAACCAGGTAGGTTATCTCTGACAGCTAATTAACTTTGATAGGTCACAAATTCAAAACCAAAAATCAAATCAAAACCAGCTTTCCTGAGGAAATCACATGCAGAAATTATAAATCTATAAATCACACATAAATATAAATAAGTAAGGCTCTTTAAAGATATCTTGTCATGAATATACATATATAAATTCAATGCTAATTCATGAAACTGAATAATTAATACCGCATACATTATTACAGGTACAAAATCAAACTGATAAGTGATTTGACTGCCCAGTGATAATAACCCTCATTAACTATTCATGCTACCGCGAAGATTGGACAATTTATGAATCCCATCTAATCTAGACAACCGTAAAAGCCTTAAGATAAGACTAAAATTACAGCATCTAAATAACAGAATAATCTCCTCCACAATTAACTAAATAACACCTTTAATACCCACATACATTAATCTCATTACAACTCCCAAATGGTTCGTTTAAATGGGGCAAACCGTTTAAAAACAAAAACAAACAAAAAAATCAGGGTTTAAAGCGATTAATTATTTATTTTGGTCACGAATGACAGAAGGCCGTGACTAGCTAACGTAACTCACAAGCGACCGTTGGAATTCAAAATAAGACAGTTGAAAAGAACATTTCAAACGCGTGCAGGTATTTCGCGGGCTTTGTTTTCTTACCTTCGGCGCGGAGTTTTAGCTCAAAGCGGCTCTGATCAGAGCGACGCGGCCATCGATATCCGGCGGCTTTAGCTCACACACATCCCCGCCGCAGGTCGAGCTGTCTGCCGGTCGCTGCAACGCTATTTCCTCGCTGTCTGTAAGCGAGCCGCTGGCTACCGGTTCAGCCGACTAAATAAAACAGCAAAGCAGGCCGACAGTTTCCTCCATGCAATCAAAAAATAAAATCCTGTGCTTTTAAAACAGCGCGTACGGCTGACAGTCCACAACATGCACACGTCAAAGAGGAAGTGACAGGACTGGTTAAACCACAGCAGAGCTCGAGCTTGACTGTCGCTGCCTTTGCATTGTTGTTTTCAGCATGTACAGCAGCGGCAGTGGGGCTTCCTGCATCATTATATCCGCTGCAGCTTATATAGTTGATCCTTTAAAAAAACAGCATGCAGAAAAACTGTACAGGTATGCTTGATCCTTGCATTTGCGCGCAGTCCCGTGGGTTCTGCGGGTCTATTTAAAGCATATGCTCTTTCTCAAAACCTTGACCTAGCTTTTCAGTGCGTACACGTCTTTTCCTTCTTTCTATCTTTACCGAAAGTGCGAGCAGCATCATTTCTGGTCCGATATCATTGGATGGTAAACTCGCCTCTCCCCTTCCTCTAGAGGGGTTATTTTTCCATCGCTGTAGCGCCCTCTGGCGGCGTAATCTGAGTGTTTCTTAAAGCGACAGTTACGCCAAAAATTAACATTTTGTAATTATTTACTCGCTACCGTGTTGTTCCAAATCCATATGGCTATCTCTCTTATGTGAAACACAAAAGGAGATATTTTGCATATTGTTCAAGCTGCTCGTCTATACAATGGAAGTGGATGGGGACTAGCTGTCAAGCTCTAAAAAGGACAAAACATAAAGAACTAAAACTTCATAAATTACTCATTTACCCACCCTCATGCATTGCAAAGCTGTTTTTCTTGCTTCTATGGAAAAATGGCAGGATTTTGTTGCAAAACGTAAAAGCCGCTCTTTTCCATGCAATGAAAGTGAAAGGTTATTACATCTGTTAAAGGGATAGTTCACCTAAAAATGAAATTCCGTCATTATTTAATCACCCTCAAAGTTGTTCCAAACCCGTATGAGTTTCTTTCTTCTGATTAACACAAAAGAAGATATTTTGGGAAATGTTTGTAACCAAACAGTTGACGGTAGCCATATGGGAAAAATTACTATGGAAGTCAATGGCTACCGTCAACTGTTTGGTAACGTACATTCTTCAAAGAAGCTCATACCGGTTTGGAACAACTTGAGGGAGAGTAAATGAAGACAGAATTTTAATTTTCGGAGAACTACCAATAAATAAAATCGTTATAGCGATAAATATAGTTTTAAAAATCATTCTAAATTTAAGGGAACAGCAGAGTCCACGTCATAACGATAATGGCACAGAGGAACGATATCGCTGGAATCACTTTCAAAAAAATATTTCTTATCCACCTTTTTCTTGCCGTAAAAATGGGCGCAGCCATTTGTAAATTCTATGGGTCTAGCTTCCGGTCTCATCCGCATCCAGTTATTTTTAGCTGTGCAGAACCGCTCCTTTTGCTGCTTAATATTGAAAATTGGTACGTCTTACCATATTATTTTAATGTATTATCTTAAAGTCCGCATGAAATCAAAATTGACTTTATTTACTTTACTAGTGCACATTGCTAGTAATGATGTGAACAATGAATCCGTGCAAGTTAATCCGGTGAAAAAAATTTTTGTCTTCGTAATCTTTAATCAAAATCTGAACATTTACTTCCGCTCTGGAATGGCATTCCTTTTCTGATGACGTCAGTTTGACGGCTTGGGCAGAATATCCTTAAACACACCCCTCCAACCGTTAGATTGCTATGAGTGAGAGACAGAGAGGAGGAGCGCAAACATAAAACCATGCCCTCTATTCAATATTCCGTTTCAGCTGGAAATACGTCACTACACTGAAATAAAGTCGGCAGCAACTTCCGGTTCACGCGGACTTTAATTATGCACACACTGGTTTGTAGTGCAAACAGTTTTACCGTTTACTGCACGTTGTTATTCTCCTCGTTATTTACCTATAGCGGATGAACCGGAAGTCTCACCCATAGGCTTACTTCCGCGCTGAAGAAAAAGGTGGATAGCTGAACAACAATAAAAACATTGACAGCCAATCAGAATCCATCCTGCTTTTAAAAGTTCAAACATTTAAAGTGGCAGATGACAAAACTGCAGCGCCAACTAATTATAAACAGAATGTTAGCAATAACTTGGTGTGGAGACTAAAATATTTATCATTATTGGCATCGTTCCTGGAGCTCCAAAAAATAACTATATAAAAGTCTTCTTAAACCATATGACCATGTTTTGTAAGAAACTAAATTTAAAAGTAGTTCACCTATAAATTCAAAGTCATTATTTATTTTAAACCTTCAAGTTGATATTTACTGAAAATCATGCCTTCTATCCAAGCTCAAAATCATTTATGCTTTTGCATATACGAATCTGGCAGGTTCTCAATACACACACTTCTTTGTTTACATGCATCCAGAAATGAATTTTCCTTTTATGGTCAAATTATGCCTTTAACACTAAAACAGTTCTGATGAACGCAAAACATGTTTCAAGCTCATTTAATGAATGATTTGAGTAAACAGCCAAGAGTCGAACACATTATTCCGTATGCAGTTTTAATTGTGGAACATTTTGTGCAACAGTTAAATCGATTCCATGAGCTACAGGAAAAAACTGAACAGTCAACAGCTAACAATGGAAAAGCAGAGAAGAGCATATTTCAAATTTCATGCATCAAAGTAAGCAGTACATCCTGTGTTGCACTGGAAAATGTCAGAGGTCTAGCTTTGATAATCATGTGTAAACAGTCGGTGCTGGTTTGGGTTTGTGTTCTTTGCATGAGATGATTTCGACAAGGCAATTCAACTCTACTCATCTTATTATCAAATATGTGCTATCATTCTCTGCTCGCATATGGCACTGGCAATGTTATCGCGTAAATGAATGAACATGCCACAAACAGTGAAAGCCTGCTATTTGAGCAAGTGTCATTTAAATAAAGAGTCGTAAGACACATAGTGGAATGGAAACATATGCCAATGAGCTGCCCTGCAGGACTGGATTGTTGCCATTCATTTAAATCAGCAGCAAACGAATCAAATAAAAAATATCGAGTCGAGCATACAATTTTCCATATTTCTGTGGCGTTAAAAAAGTAAATGTTTTTACAAATCTAGGCATTATTAAAATATACTTTATAGTATGTTCACCATGTAATAAAACATACAAAATAGATCCTACAGTAATAAAAGTAGAAATATTTACTGAACATGTACATATCGGAGTCTGTACAGTGGAACGATCGTCCCATTGTGATAATTCATATGGTCCAGGGTAAAGATCATAATTCATGGCAGTTCACAGCAGCCGTGGGCTATATGTTGGCAGAAGATCGCAGGATGTTGAATCGTTTCAGAGTCATGCGGATGAACCCGAGGTCGCGGTTCACCTTTTCTAGGCGATTCTCCAGTGACACCTAAAACCATGACGTTCATAATGTTACGCATCTATTTTTCCCACTGATGTCTTTTGTTATGCATAACCATCTTTAAAATAAAAAATTCAAGTAACAAAAGAAAATACTCAAATGAGATGTAGAGCCTTTCATTCATAAAGTGTCTATATATATATATCATACCGGATCAGATATATATATATATATCTGCTCCGGTGAATTATTATTACTCATTATTGTCTATTTACGGTATTTTAGTAATTTAAATAACATGGGTTATCTTAATATGTGATTAATTACATTTTATTATAATATTACACCACTCAAATATGTATTTATTTCCTTCTAATTCTCGTTGTCAATGCAGGCTGGTTTTTGCCTACATTCAAAGTTAAGAAAAGTGATTAGTGTAGCCTGCTTAAAATAGCCTTGAACATAAAACAAGAGGGAAAAAAAATAGTTGATGACTAAAAATCATTTCATGACACTAGACATTACTTTGTGAAGACAGTGGCATAATACAGTGACATAATACGTTTTTTAGCCATATCAAAACAGTAGTCATGTGCATGTGTAAATTTTACTCACTGGCGGTTTTAGGTATACAACGACCCCTGGCGGTTTAAGTATTAAAATATTTGACATGTGAATAACTATATTATAATGTAACTGTGAAATACAAGCGCTCATATTGTGATGTAATATTTTCGGTCCATATTAGGGCTGGGTTCGACATATTAGATGTCCCGATTCGATTCTGATTCGCAAGCTATCGATTTGATTCTCGATTCAATTCTCGATTTTTTTGATTACATTTAATGAATATAGATTTAATACAAATGCTATTTATATTTCTAAAAATGTAACAGTAAACATCAGTTTACAAATGGTGAATTAATAAAAAGAAATTAAGAGTCACAGACCTTTATTTTATACTTTTTCTTTTTTTTGGAGCCCTATATATTTTATAGGGCCCTATTAACAATAATAGGGCTCTATAAAATGTTTTTCTTTATTTTTTCTGGTAATCAAATGAAGGCATAAAATGATTTAATTTATCCTTTAATCAAATGAAAACTAAATCTTCATTTTTTGGCAAACAAAGTGCTGCACAACAGAGGTTTACTGTTAAGATTAAAAAGAAAAAAAAGTGAGATTATTCCTTTAAAAATAAAGTTTTATTCATATTTATCATTTGTAGTAGTAGTAGTATTGTTATTACATTGAATCTTACATTCTACTGCACAATAGTAATATATTTCTGTCACAGTTTCTTCAAGTTAAACCAAACTTTTATTTTGAAGCGTTGCCGTGAAGAACTTGCAGCTGCTGTGTATGTGATATGAGTTTTTCTCAAATTAAACAGCAAAATGTCTCAGAGCAGCTGAATGATGTTCATGTGTCCATATTGTCATACAGGGAGATGGTAGAGGCTGAAAACACCGCGAGCATCACGTGCGCTTCAGTATGTGTGTAGTAAACAAAAGAGCGCATCCGCGCCATTCATTCATTGTGGAAATCATAGCGCCCTAGGCATGATGTCAAATGCTTCTGCAGATTTGTAATATTACTACAGCATTTCACCTTCACGTTAATCAGATCTTGTGTTAAATGTTAGCGGAAATATATATGGAAAAATATTGATTTGCAGCTTTTGAGAATCATTATCAAATCGACCACATTTTAAAAAACAATTAATCGAAAAGTCAATTTTTATTTGCCCAGCCCTAGTCTATGTGCATGTGAATGGAAAGTGATTGTGTTCCCACCTCGTCTAGCCTGGACTGCAATGTGACCCGGGCCCCGGCTCCTGGAATCCGGCTCAGTGCTGCCTCAATCTGTGGAAAATAAATAAATATTGGGTGAAAGCGTCACAGCACTCAGCAAATTGCTGGATGGAAACAGCTGAGATTAAACAACAGGGTTTTGAATTAGCACTCCTCAGAATGAAGAGGAAAAGGGAAGCCTTTGCTAAAAACAGATGTGATTAACCAGAAGCGCTATAAAGACAGGTTATGTAATGTGTAGTGCTGAGATCACAGCAGAAACATGCACTGCCATCGATCTACAGTCAGTTTCAAACCAGCACGAGCC